TTTTTATATCATATCCCAAAGGGGGGCCCTTGCCCCCGCTGCAGAAATAAACAAATCGTTTTAATCCTTCAATTAAGCATAATTAAATCACCAAAATCAATTCAAAGTCAATGGATTCCGTCATACATGGTTGATCATTTTTGCTAAAGCAACCTGAGGTTGAGGCCTTTCATCATATATATCGTGTTTAACAAGTATATCGTTACAAATAGGACTCATCTATTAGAAACAAGAAGCTACTAGTAACAAGTGCATCGCTACTAGTAACAAGTGCCTTACTAGTAGTAACAAGAAGCTACTAGTAACAAGTGCATCGCTACTAGTAACACCGTGTCCCCCGTGCGGACTGAAGGTGCCGAAGGTGACTTCGCGTCGTTAAGACTATTTCGCATCAATAACCTATAAGAGCTTTCACTAGTAGACTAGTAGCTTATTGTTCCTAATAGCTTTCTTGTTACTACTAGTAAGGCACTTGTTACTACTAGCGATGCACTTGTTCCTAGTAGCGATGCCAGGAGCCCCTAGGCCCTAGTAGCGTCCTTGCTCCTAGTAGCGATGCACTTGTTCCTTGTAGTGAACCTTGTTACTACTAGTAAGGAACTTGTTACTAGAAGCGATGCACTTGTTCCTTTAGTAGCTTCTTGTTACTAGCAATGGCCTCCAACCGAATGTTGGAAAGAAAAACAAGTGTTGGCTAAGATCAACTCAACATAAGAACATGTTTGCCTAAAATAGGCACAAGAGATGCTGCAAATGTCACGATGGCAATAAAGCATGTCTTGCATCATGCTTGTCTGTGGCAGTTCCAATCAAAGTTTGTGTTGGGTGCAAATGGCGATGGATGGACCAGTGGGGGCCTAGCAAAAGTCAAATTATCAAAAGCTCCTAGTAGTATGGCCAGGAGCCCGGAGTAGCGGCTTTTATGAAAATTGCTTCGGAATAGTCTTTGGAATTGGTGCTTGAGTGCTTCGGACAAAACCTGATGCATGTGGTCTCGGTCGCGACGCATCACGAAAAGGACTCTGCTGCCACGTGTAAGCACAAAGGGTCACAAGTTCAAAAGGTGTGTCAAAGGTGGACAAGAAGGTTGGAGGCCATCGCTATTAGGTTGTGGACAAGAAGGAAGAAATCACAATGTTGCTAAAAGCACAGCACCGCTGTGGCCTGCGACGCCTACCAGTAACAATGGTTTCTGACGCTTCACGTGCAAGCCCAAAAGATGCCTCGGCCACAACGCGGTTCGCTCCCCAGTGGCATTGGCGTGGACAATGAAATGCAAAAGAAAAGTAACAAATGCTCGATGTTACTACTAGTAAGGCACCTGTTACTAGTAGCGATGCACTTGTTCCTAGTAGCTTCTTTGCTCCTAGTAGTCTAAATATGTTTTTCTTTGTTTTGTATTGATTCATGTCTTTGAGAGAGTCTTCAAACGGTTCAAACACCCAACAAATACTCACTTGGTCAGTCATTCGCAGTGCCGCCCAATCGAGCCATCTCAAATTCAAATCTGTGATCCATTTGGCCTTGAGTTCTACAGCCTTCAGATGTACAGCCTTCCGTTGGAAAACATCTCTTAGTTGCCAACTTCATTCGCTCCAGCTCCACATTGCTTATAACAATGTTCTGGTAGAGAACTTCGGTCAGAGGTTCATAAGGCCTCGGTTTTGGCGCTTCGTGTTGAAGACTTGCTGAAAGTTGGCGAAAAAAAGAAACGATTGCTACTTGCGTTGGTTTGTTCAAATCTTCAAGACATCAGTTCTCAAAGGAAACAAGGAACAAATACAAGCAATTTGCTTTCCACATCTTTTGCAAACAAGGAACTTCACACGCTTTTCCCAATGAACCCATTCCTAGAGAAGTCACATGAATCAGAATCAATTCAGTCAACATGTCAAAAGAACAGAATCTAATTCCATTTGGCATCCCTACTAGGAGCAAGAACGCTACTAGGAGCTCCTGGCCTAACTACTCACGGGACTTGCGGTCGCTGTCTGGCGCGCGCTTCCTACGGTCCTTCTCCGTATTGGAGGGTACCGAGGAGTGTGGTACATATCTTCTTGTAAGACGAGGTGAAAAGAATAGAACTATACAGATGCTACGAAAGACCCCGTATGAATTTCGAAAGGACGAATATGCAAGCACCTAATTGGGTGCGAGTGGCACCGTGACTCCATCGAGATCACCCCCTTGATGCCACGTTTCACGAAGCTTTCGACGATACAAGAAACGCTGACGAAAAGTAAGGGGAATAGCTGGTGGAACTGCGAAAGTAGGTAACACATGTCGCATTGGTATCAAGCCATCTGGATGGAATGGTGGTTTACACTTAAGATCTTCGACATATCGTGAAAGGGTACGTTGGACAAGATCTGAATTTGGGAACTCAGGCCGTAGGGGCATACCCCCAGTATATGATTTGCCCCAACCAATTTGCGTGAGACTGATGGAGCCAGTCTTGGTAAATTTGGGCAAAATAGGTGTGTCTGAATATCCCTGAAGATAAAGAACAATAGTACGAAAAGCCTCGGCTTGCTCCCGGAGGGATCTCTTAATGGTGGGTAGGGCGAGGACCCGTGGGTCTTGCCAGTGAACTGGTTGGGCTCGGTCTTCATTATCCAGATGTATCCAAGTAGGAAATTGGAGTCCGGTATTGATAACGAAAGCGAGAGTGAGTTCAAGCCATGTAATGCCTGCAGTCACAACTGGGTCAGAGTGGTGTAATGCAGGATCCGGCCATCGTAGGGCGGCACAAAACTGAAGAACTAGGTCCGCATATTGGTTACCCCAGACGCAAGCAGTAACAAATGCTGGATGAACATATGGGTGATAGATTTTAGCTGAGGTGGGGACTGTGTAGACTGCTCTGGATCGATATAAGGTACCCCAATCAATTGATGCGTCGTGCGATGTATTGACACGATCGGTATGAGTCTGTTTTTGCTTGGCTTGAGAATGTGACACATTAAGATCAGCAAGATAGGAAAGGATACACTTTGTTTGAAGGAATTGATCCTGATGCCAAGTGTCTGCTTGTCGAAATAGGGCATCAACACGGGTGTGGTCGGTCTGACGGGCTCGAACGGCAGCATGGTCTGCCCACTCATTACCGATGACATCGTTTCGCTCCGGACCAGGGGGTAGGTCATTAGGATCTTGATGGGAGCGGACCTTACGCAAGGTAAAACGCAAAGGATCCCAACATGCAGCAAGGATTTGTATAGAAGGTCGGCGTTCGCAAACTTATGCCAAGATGGTGGTCGGACTGCTTGAGAGACATGTGCGATAACATTAATGGCATATTGGGAATCCGTAGTAATGGTAAGTCGGTGTGGCCAGTGTTGCTGCGTGACGTGTTGCACAATCCAAGTGATGGCAGCAAGTTCAGCTCTGGCAATGGTCTGTGGGCCCTGTACATGTTGAATTTTAATGGTGATATAAGATTGGTTGAATGTCTCGGGACAGAATTGTATAAGTGACCAAGCCGCCCGGCGTGTCCCTGGATGTACAGGTGTGTCTGCTGACCCATCTGTATAAAAGTAAAGGGCATCACCGCCGAGATAGATTGGAGTATGTTCGGTATCTTGCCCTCGGAAAGCTAAGAGTTGACGAAGGATGGCAAAGTCAGGGAAGGAATGTGGAAGTGGAAACCATAACTTCTGTGGATTGTGAGTAAGGTAAGCAATTGCTTGTGGGTGGCGTTGCCGAACAGCAGCGAAGGTTGGACAGTAAAGTTGTTGATGTGCATGTGTATCTGGCTCTCCGCAATGTGGACATTTGATATCGATTGTGGATGTCCACTGGGCTTTAACTGCTCCTACTTGGTATCCACCGGTAAGGTTATACGCAATTTGACGAATAGCCGTGGATGACATGGATCGTAAGGCTCGTGACAAGACAGTGTAGTCGAATGGGACCGATGGTACCCCTTTGCGATGGCAAATTTGTCGATTGAGATAATATGCCCACGAGTGACGGAGTGTGCATCGAATATGGCGCAGGGAGTCATGCTGTAAGGATATAGATAAATATCCATCAAGTGTGAGAGTCCCATCATTGGTTAGGGACCGACCGACGAGTTGTAAGTATCTAGCAAGGGCACCGGCTGGTCCGATGGGATTTCCCTGATGGACGATGACCGAATTAACAAAATCTTGCGCCTGCGATGGATTGGTATGATAGAGTCGACGCACGAAGGACAAACCTGTTGCGATTACATAAAGAAGGGGATCTTGTAATTGAGAACTGAATAGGTGTACGGCGAGCCAGCTTGATATCTGTGTTTCTGGACCTACCAAAGCAGTAGTGGCCTCGCGGCGAAGTGTTCGGAAATGTTTGTCACCAACGATTTGATTTTCAGCTCCGAAGAAAGCGTGCGGCCAAATGGCCGTCTGTATAAATTGTGCCTTGTGGGCAATGGATGTCTGAAACCACCGCAGCCTCCGGCATCGTTGTACGGCGCTATTGATCTTGGTCTTTAAGTGTCCTAGGGTAATATGACGTGTATAATGCGTCATACATCCCAGGTCTTTGCTCGAGTTGAGAACACTGATCTGGTTGTGATCGGCAAATTCGTCTGCGAGGAAATCTTTCCAATCTGTACGTGCATCTTTGGTCGCACCCCAGGCCCATGACTTGGCGAAATCTATCTTCATGCGAAAAGCTTCAACCAAGTGTTGGATTTGATAGAAAGCTTGAATATTATCTCGCTGCGTGGTCGTGAGGTAGGACCAATTGTCTGCGTAAGCATATGGAAAAACTGTAGGAGACTGAAGGGTCCAATAAAATGCTGAAGATACCACTAACATAGCACATACCGAAAGGCTGTCGCCTTCTGGAACACCTGTAGTCATGGTGATCGTTGGGCCAACTTGTTGTCGAATCTGAAGTCGGCGGGTCATGCGGCTAAGATTAGTAAACCAAAACTGTATCGCAGCTGCTGGGGCCCCATGATAAATCAGCAAGTGGTACACCACTCTGCGAGGTAAAAGGTTAAATGCTTTAATGAGATCCAGCGTAAAGCCACGCCAAGGCAAGGATCGATTCTTTGCATTTTCAATCTGATATTGCTGCATGAATGTAATGTCTTGGACGCTGCGAAATGGTAAACCGCCGGAAATGGCACTAGGCCAGGTATATGTCCAGTGGTTTAAGAGTTGATCCGCAATGAGTTTAGAGGTGAGGCGGCTGATATATCCCAAAATAGTAATGCGGCCGTCGGAAATGGAAGTGGAAGGCACACGCTTGGCTAAAAGAATGACGCGGGCAATTAACTGATGTGGTGCGAGACCCTGAGGCCATATAGACGCAAGAATAGTAGCAAAATCTTGAATGGCGGCTTGAGGTAATGTTTGGAGCTCTTCGGCTCTCCAGCCATCAATGCCAACTGCTTTAAAAGGTTTCAATTTTTGAATCGTCTGTGAGATGAGGTGAGGGTCATCCCACCGTACTGTCAGTGGTGCTGTTGGTGGGATACGGCTTCGGAGCGACTGCAGGAGCTCAGACCAGGAGTCATCCGTCTGTTCGTCAATTCGAGAGTCACGATTCCAAAATTGGGACCAATAAGTCTGAAATGATTCTGCCATGTCAGGCAGGTCGAATGCATATACTTCTTGAGTAAGATCAGCATATGTAGGGACGGAACCTTCAAGAATTTGGCAGAAGACGTGATGCTCCTGTTGGTCGAGAATACGAAGTAAAGCAGATCCAAATCGTGCTGCTGCAAATAGACGAAGGGTGATCGGTTGGTGAATAATCAAATGCAGGGGCCCTTTGGGTGCTCTGCACACAGTGGCAGGGGTACGAAGCTGGGTGGGGAAACCAGGTAGTAACTTGACATCTTGGGCTTTAAGTCTTTTATAATATTGGGAGCTCGACTTGTACTGGACATCAAGGTCGAGGCCATGTTTTTGAGACTGCCGCTGTAGTTTGGCCTCTTGTTGGCTGTAGAGGTCTGCGTCATATTGGGTAATTTGTCTTACGGTATAGAGGTAGTCGAAGGTGGGGAGCTCAACTGGCACAGCAGTGACGGCTTCGAACTGTAAAATCCATCGGTCCCATGAGCGACCGTAACCTTGGGCTTGACGGATTGCTTGCCATAACTGTGTCATGTCCTGAAAAGGAAGGGAAGACACCCCAAAAGGCAAAGACTGTTGAGTTAAATCATGCTTATGGTATAAGCGTTCCAGACACCGTAAGCGTCGAACTTGGCGAACCTTATGGCGACTTTTGAGTGACGTGACTTCAGTGGGTGGTTCGTAAAACCCCATGCTATCTCTTTTTGGTGATTTAGGACAAGGTGTACGAATCAGGCGAGGAGTCGCACAGCGTCCTCGGAAAAGCTTTGGCAGAAAACCCTGTGGGTTTTGGAGGGGGTTGATTTGTTTCTGCTGTCGGAGAGTACCATCGATGGCTCGCTCCACTTGAGAGGACCATTGGTATAAGGCGGCGGTAGGGTCGGAAAGTTGAGAGTTAGGAACACACTGACGATATCTGGAGTACTGAGTAGCAAATTCCTTGAGGTTGACTGAGAATAGTGTCCATGACTTCGGGATATACCAAGTGAATGTCTCAGCATGCTTTGTTGGAACATTGAAAAGTACCCGAACGACACAGTGATCTGCGAACTGGTGTTCAGGTCCAACGTCAATACGTTGTATATATTTTTGTAGGAATGGATGAAAAATCATAGAGTCGTAACGGGTTTACATGTAGGTGGAAGTTCGAAGCCAAAAACGTTGCGGTGGAATTCGAACATTTCGGCACATGCGCTCTGATGAAATAGAGAAAATGCGTCAAGTTTACGAACATCAGTATTGAAATCTCCAGCTACAATAAATGGTAATGTGGTGGT